TTGTACTCTCTTTGTTTTGTCCTCTGTAATTCTTTGTTTTTGTTATATTAATATATAATACCCTATATATATATATATATATAATCAAATCAAATCAGTCACTTGAGAGTTTCAAATCTTGGTTGTGTGTTCTGATTCTTCAATTGTGGTTTTGGAAATTGATTAGTACTCAAAAAGCGGAAGTGCCACAGCCCTGATCTGGGGGGCATCACCTCAGTCACGGTCTGATCGGCAGAAAGATAGAGTTGAAACCAATCCTGAACAGTTGGCTGCTGCTTCAGCTCAGGCTGATATATCCTTTTTTTCTTTATAATTACATTAAAGCTGCTTATTCTCCTTCTCTGTGCCACAGATTGGATCAGGGATGTGTGTGTGTGGTGCTGCTTGTGTATTTTAGATATTCTCCCTTAACTAACTTGGACACAGAATGACCATATCAACAGGCAGAACCACTCGGGTGATTGGATGGTACCACTCGCATCCTCATATTACCGTCCTTCCTTCCCATGTCGGTATGTATCATCTTATTTCTAACTAGTTTATGCTTTTATCTTGTTCCTCATATCTCTATCTCATGTTTTTTTATGTAGATGTTCGGACTCAAACTATGTATCAGCTTTTAGATCCTGGGTTCATTGGCCTCATATTTTCCTGTTTTAGCGAAGATGCTAACAAGGTTAGTAATTGCCATTGCTATCAAGGGATTACCAAGTCTAAACTTTTCAAGATATTTAATTTCTTCTCACCTTGGACACATGCCTAAATTGCCTTTGTTGATGTTTTCAGGTTGGAAGAATCCAAGTTATTGCTTTCCAGTCCTCTGATGGAAAACCAGATACTACTCCTACATCAATGAGCCTGGTTCTTGCAAATAAAGATTCTGTCATCGATGTAGAATCTTCATTGACTTCTTCAGACTCGATATTTCCTAGATCCTCTTCTCGTCGGGGAGGCATTCCTGACCAAGACACAAGTGACACAGCTACAACTTCCGGTTCTAAGGTCTCTTTTGCCTCTCTTTATGCTAAAAGCTATAGAAATTCATTCGCGCTTAATGAAAGTCTTCAAATTATAATTTCTTCACTCATTTTCCAAATTCTTGAGACCGTCATGATATTCTGATTGAACCGCTGGCTTATATATACACAGTGATGTCTGAGCTTAGTATGTATGTATGTTTGGCCGTGTAGGGTGGAGGACGAGTTTCAGATTTTGGGGCTTTCTTTGTTAATAGTAATGCTGAGACCAACAGCACCGGAAGAGATGGAACAAGTGGAAAATACAGTTCAGGAAATCTCAGCAGCTCAGCTATAGAACATGACCCAATGGACATGTCTGAAAGTATGCAAGAGGCAATGCTCCGTTCTAATTTAGAAACCAGGTATATCTCAACATGCACTTTTGGGCTAATGAACATTGCCCGTTCATTGTGTTATTAGCCTATTACTTAACCTAAAGCTTTTACGTGCAGTGGTGTGGGGTATGTTAGAAAAGAAGTCCCTCTTCATGTTTTGCCGACTTTATCGCTTCTTCAACTCAATTCACCTCTAGCATCTTTTAAGGATCTGCAAAGAGTACTCTACGAGGAGGAACGAGCAGCATACCACCAATCTGTGCAGCAAAGCATAAGGTTTTCGATTCAATCTTTTTGAGAATTTTTATTCATACCTCATGATAGAGATTTTAGTGCAAAAACTCCTTCTGTTTCTTTCTTTAGAGACGGGAGAGTTCATCCTCTTGCTTTCATCCACAACACATCGACATATCAGGCTTCCATGTGCAAGCTGATCGAATACTGGTTAGTGAAGCATGTGAAAACATTTTGATACGTGGTTTTGTTATTTGTTACATTGATTTCATGTTTTTGCAGTTTGAGTCCCGCCATCAGTGCACTTCAAGGTAGGCTGAGGGAGAACAAGATCCGGGTATGTTTTCCTCATAAGCCTTCTCATGGATATTGTGTTTCTGTTGGGTTTGAAGCATGTTGTGCGTTGTGCAGTTAGCAATGCTGATGGATGAAGCTGAGGTTCTGGAATCACAGAAACTAAAAGGAGCAGAGGCGAGCGGGGAACCATCTCATCTGGCTCATGGTTCTGGCAGCCGAAGCAGGAGAGGATTGTAGAAAGATTCTGCGAGTAAAGGCACATGCCTTCCTCTTTATGTATGTTTCTATATAGACATTTGTTTTTTTACAATTGTATCATATGCAGACATCTGTTTTTGTAGTGTACCCATCTGTAGCATTATTGTTTTTTTTCATTGGAGATTTAACACCTTTTTGCCAAGAGATGCTGTAATATATGTATTCATATATGTAAACATCATAATGAATTTGAGTTGGGAGAGACTTGGTGAAACAAAAAATTGCAGATCCATTATGAGAAATGATTGTAGAGATCCAAAGTTACAAAAGCTTTTCCTCAGAAATAAACAGTTTATATCATGTTGTGTAAAGGAAAAGCGAGTTGTTTCTAGGCATTGGAATCTCTCTATTAAGTTAGGGAAGCGCAGAAGGCTAGTCTCCTTTAGTGGATTGGGAAAAAGGGATAGATGTGCAACATCTGATGATCTTCCTGAGATCGCTTCGCATGGAGAGGAATGCAGAAAGTGATGCGAGAAAGAGCGTTGGGTAGACACGAACAGAGTTTCTGTGAGCGCTAAGCCAGTCATGAGCAGAGTCCAATAGAAGAATGTCTCTGAGAAGACCCCAATATATCAAAAGCGTAGCGATGAAGCTAATCCTAGTGGGTTTGAAGAGGTTGAGTAAAGCGCCTAGTAGACATAAACAACTCCCAGCAAACACCTGGAGCAGGGATGTTGTGACAGTAAGTAAGTAAGTAAAGGTGTGTTTGTCATAACGATAGCAAGATGGGTGGGTGGTGCAGACCTCTAGGTGATGAATATCGGAGGATGGATACATGTGGTCGAAGCCGTAAGAGGTGAACAAGTGGTGAAAGCTGGGGAGTTTGGAGCCAGCAAGGAGGGACTTGGCAAAGGCACCAGGATAAAGGAGTGTCTTGACAACAGATGAAGGAATCAACTCATTCGCAATCAACTCGGAGGAGATAACCTCTAATGGTGTTTCGCACCTCTTGTTCCTACACGCCACTCTGCACCACACATGAACCCAAGCAATAGTAATGGTCTAAGACAATACATACAAATTCCGTAATGGAAATGCTGAGCTGCTATATACGAGATTCCAGAAAACTTCAAATCAACCGTGCATTTTGCTTCTCAAGGAAAAGATGATTGGTACCTGAAAAGAGGAACCTGGAAGACGATGAGGAACGAGAACAGACAAGAGGCGATGACGGAGATTATCGAAGCCCATTTCTTCCAAAGAACCATTTTCGATTCCCGATTTTGGATTTCGATGATGAATATGAATGACCACAAATTTTTCTTAAAGGGTTCGTAATCGTAACCGAGAGGGAAAAATAAAAACCAAATTTTTTTTTAGAGAATTGTGGGAATATCACTCCCACCCACGTTTTTTCCCATTTTTTTTTTTTAAGTCAACAACACGTTTTTTACTTTTTTTTTTTATATTAATACAATACGTAATTACGTATGTCTCTCTCTATATTTAGCTTTGTTTATGGGTTTTAAAACGCATACAGAAGCTCCAATGAGACAATTTATCAAACTAGATGGAAACAGCAAGAATCCGTAATCAATTCAACTCGCACCACATCGTTTACATTCTGCCTCCTCTTCTATTTTGAATGCAAGCTACTCTTGAGTCTTGAGGATGTGATCTTATCCACCAGAGTGCAGTACCTTTGTAAGATAAAATATAATTTGTTACATGAGTTGCGTATGAGGTTTCATGTTCCTGTCTTACAATTATACAAGGCTAAATAAGCTTACACTCTTTTTTATCGCAGACCAGACCGTCGTCATCTATCAATCTGTCAGCTCCTTCATTTGGCCCTGTTCCAATTCACAAACCTCGACATTTAGAAACACTTCTATCATCCAAAGGATGTACCATCTTAATTTTGGTATAGCAATCAGAAGACTGCTTCTGATTTACAAACAACCTTTGGCATATACTATGAAAAACATCAAAATTGGCAGACCAGACAAACCAATATATACTTTCACAATTTATGAAAAAGGTTCCCCGCTATGTAATCTTCTTCACACATCAATTTTATACGTATCACTAAACCTAGAATTTCTACTGGCATCACTATTCAGATTTTCTTTAGTTTTGCTTTTCAGCTATATAGCTTATCTTTCGCAGTATTCTGTTTTTCTTCTACTAAACCTTTTAGGGAAGCCTGTAACTAAGGTTCTATCTACATCTCTACGAATTTGAGCAAGGCTTTTGCATGAATTCTTTGTGTTTCTAAATTATAAAAACGCGGAAGATTATGGGCTTAGATCATTCTAGTTTTTAGGGAGGGTACAATGAAACGACTGACCCGAGCAATGTAGGGTTCCGCATCAGTTCGTTTGAGGAAATGCATAGAATGACGGGCAAAATTTGTTGTTTTGTCACTCAGCACGATTCCTTCATCAATATCATCCAGAATCCTGACCTTGATGTAAGGATCTTTTGGAGGAACCATATCCTTCAAGAAATGAATGGAAAAGGGAAAATTAGTAGTCACAGTCAATCAGCACATAAGAAAAATCCAACAAACTAATGTTACGAAATCCGACAGCCAGGGTGGTGGAAAGAGGACGTACGACATTCAACTCGATTCCTACTTTTCCCATGTATGATTTAAGAGCTACGGAATGGTTCTTAAAGTAGTCTTTTTCCAGTGTAGTGAGCTTGCCTTGGATGTCAGAGGGAAGGTCGAGAAGTTCAAGGCCTACTCTCCATGCCAAATCCCGCACAATTTCTGCTCGGTTGTACCTAGAGAGGGACACAAGTGGCAGCTATATACTAAGAAACTTGTAAGTAATGGTGCAGAAGAATTTTGTTGAGTTGTTAAAAAAGAGAAGGTGGTTCTCTCACACATAAGCCATGAGGCAGCGCTTGTTCCGGATCAAAGAAAGGTGATGAATGAGTGCTCCATAGTGGTCAGCGTTTCTATTGTTCTGAACATCCAAACCTTCTTGTTGCATTTTCCTGAAAGTCAATCAAAAGGAAGCCGTAAACTGAATGATTGGCGAAAGGCAACAAGTGTGTGTGTGTGTGTGTGTTGATTTATTAGTACCTAATCAAGGACTGGATAAGATGGTGATTCTGGTCACATTCTTCAATTGTCTCGTCAAAGAGCTTGCTCTGTAAGAAAAAACAAGCAGCAAGATCATCTCTTATTCTGCTCAATTTCCAATGTCTAGCCTGGTAATAGTTTGGCATTTCTTTGCAGAATACAGATCTCAAAGGCTTAGCAAATTAAGACAACAAACAATAACAGCAACATATATCAACCCAAAGCTAAAACCATCTGAGATAACTGGTGGGAAAAGGGTTGAGAGAAGAAGAGAAGAAGAAGAGAGAGGACTTACGTTAAAAGGTTTGAGCTGACCTTTCTCTCCGCTGGCAAAATCTTTCACCAGCTGATACCCTTTTCTCCCGTACATGGTCTCTCTCAGGAATCACTTTTGGTTTGTTCAATTAGTTGGAGCAATTCATCAAACATCTGGCATGCGGAGAGAAAACCGCCGCAGAAGAAAGGCTTACAAGTGAATCGAACCGCTAGGGTTTCCGGGATGGATCTGCACAGGATGTTGGAATCAAACCCTTGATTAATACTCAAAACTTGAATAATAGAACAGTGGGATTGACAAGACACTGGGAAAAGGGACAAAGGAGAAGCGTTTGTAACAACCAGAAGAAGAGAAAGAAGCGATGTTGAGAGGAAGAAGAAGGACTTTTGTTGGTTAATTAGGCCAAGTGTTAAAAAAAAGGCCTTGTTGGGCTGTGAAACCAATATAGCCCACGTAAGTAAATGAGTTTAGTGGGAGAACAAGACTTTAGGTTATGTCTTAAGTGAAGACAAATACATATAAGCTGTATGTTGTATAATGTATGTTTTCTTAAAGCTTCTTGTAATATTTATTTTTGAGTATGATGATGAATGAAGATAAGGATGATCAGTTTGGTTGCTAGTGTAGTGTGATCATCAGGGCGATTGAGGATTTGTTTAAAAAGTGTAAAGCCGTTTCGTTCGCATGGATACGTTTTAATCTCTCGATAAAGAGGAATCAGTCATCTACTGAAATGTCAACCAACCAACCATATATATAAAAATATAAATCAACCAACCAAAAGAGGAGGCATGGACAACGAGTTATCGACAGTGCATTATCTTTTATTGGACTAAATGGTCGATATCCTACCAGATTCTACGCCCATAATTACCCGTTGCTGGCTTTGACCCAGTTTTCTCTCCCGTTTCATACAATGATTACGCATCTTAAACATTATTATCGCCATAATATAAAACATTCTCGCTCTCTCTCTCTCTCTCTCTCTCTCTTTGGTTAGATAATTCAAGAAGCTATTGCTGCAGCCACACATATATATAGTAGTAGCCTAGTAGGGAATGAAAAGACGACAAAAAATAAGTTAACTAGTAAAAGACATAAACTCATCGCAAAGAAGAGGAAGAAATGAACAAAAGTCCTCTGAACCAGTTTTAGCAAAAACCAATAAGGACGAGAGAAGTGCATGCAGAGAGATTAATAAACCAACAAATAAATAAAACGGAGGACGGGGAACAGTCAGTTCCGTCCATGGCGGGTCTTCAGAGATCCACCATCTCTTTCCGGCGACAAGGCTCTTCGGGTATAGTCTGGGACGACCGCCTCATCGCCGAGCTTAGCCAACAAGCCAACAACCAGAAGAAAGGCGATACCCATCCACAGGTCGACGGCCAGGCGGCGTCCGAACTTCAAGAGCAGATCACTGCTAAACCCATCGCCGGAGAAGGACTCGTGCCGGAGAGGAGTCGATCCAACGGCGGGGGCGGAGGAGCTATCCGCCACCATAGAAACACGGGGAGAGTGTCTCCGGCGGTGGACCCGCCATCGCCGAGACTGTCGGCGTTTGGGTGTTGCCCTGCGTTTGGGAAGAAGCCTAGTCAGAGGAAAAGGCCAACGAAACGCAGATCCAGGTAGGCGCCACATATTTATATATGAACACCACAAAGTAGTAAGAAGAACACACACAAACACGTGAAAAACTAAGGCAAAGAGAAGAGAGTGATCGTACAACATATATATACTTTAATGGATCTCTTTAATTACTTTTCTGTTTTTGTTTGTCTTCTTTACTTTTAAATTCTACTATAAACTTGTATTATGAACTTTCAACTCATCAGAAACATGTCTTGTTTATATACATCTGTTTCATTTCTATATATATATATATGAATCAGAATACTAATTATTAAAAGCTCCCCAAACAAAACAAAACAAAAAAAAATCCAAAATTATGTACGAAATAAGACGACCAAATTAAGTATCTCTTCCCCCGAGGAATAAAACAAAAAAACTTAAATGGGGCATGCATGATGCAGCAGAGAGCTGACTGCGCAAAGGCTACTATCCTTCATCCTCTCGTATGAATGTGTACTTAATGACTATTCAATGGATCGAGTGATTTAATTATTGACTGTGATCATTCGTTGGATTCGACTATTTATGATCATTCAAACCTGGGCATGCATGATGATGCAGCTGACTGCGCTAAAGGGGAAATAGACGAACTCATAATAATATGGCCCTTTTGAGCCTAAAGCTAAAGGGGCTAAACTCTGTAGGCCCAATGTAGTGTGGCCCATTCATAAGAACATCTATATTGTATATATATATAAAACAAAGATAACTATGAAAAAACGGCCCACTATAATAAAAGTGAGGAGGATCGTCACCGACATCATCGGAGCTACGAAAACGACTCTGGGTGGGTGGGAGAGTGGCTTATCTTGTAGCCCGCTACATAGACTTTGTTGTAAGAAGCTCTATGAATAATCAATTCCACTTGTTAGGTTAGATTTCATGTATGCCTTTCCTTTTTTGAAAGAGAACCTTTAGATTTGATTCTTAATTAATTGATCCTTACTTTAATAGAAACGCATATTATCTAATTTAATCACTAATTTAAAGGCTGAAGTTGCAAGATTTTTATTTGATTATAATTGCTGATACATATTATATTCTTTTGTACTTGGTTTAGATTTATATGTGGATAAGTGATGAGAGGATATGTATGGTTTTACTGCTACTATTAGCCCTATTTATATCTAATAAACCTCAAATTCAACATTCCATCTCTTACGAAGCTATTTTTTTTTATTCCTTTCAATAATTCAAAGCTGCTTCCGTAGGAATAAAAAAGACTTATTAGGCATGTAAATATAATACTGTACGTAGAATCAACTAGTCCTTTATAAATACGCCCCCAAACACACAAAACTCTCACCATCCACACAATCCAACTATAGCACCCCAAAACGTAAACATAAAGATTAGGAAAATGAGTTCCTTACAACAACTTTCTGTGCACAGTAGTACCAGCTCAAAGGTCATTACAGAGAAGAGAAGATCAGTAATAATCCCTTCCAATGGCGGCAGTATACTAGAGAGCAAGCCAACGATTCATGATATCGACAAAAGCGCCGAAGCTTTCATCCAAAACTTCCGGCGACAGCTTCTTCTTCAGTGCAATAACATCCTCCCTAGCTAGAGGACGTCTTTGATGAGATATATAATATTACAGTTAACATAATATAGATGTCGCATGTCATATGTGTCAGATAATAATCTTTCTATGCTTAGGCGATTTCAATTGTATTATAACATTTCTTTTAAAATCATACCACAAGTTTTAGAAGGAAACGATGACCAATGGTACATAGACTTAAGAGTGGATGGTCATTTTCCGGTTTAGGAATCAGATCAACCTGTCTTATTACACGCACTAGCTATTCACAGGCAGTCAAAGAGACGACAAAACACATCAAGGTTATATCTACCAAACAGAGACTTTAGGGAGAGTGAGAAGAATATATAGAGAGAACTAGGGGTGGATTTGAGTAGGGTGCGATGGCTGGACCAGCTGGCGGATGTTGTTGACTCGAGAGCAGGAACGAGCTATCTCACCGGCAAGAGGGATAACGGGGAGGCTATCGCAGTTGCAGATCTCGATCATGAAGCCATCAGGGTCGTGGAAGAAGAGTTGGTCCACTTGGATCCCTCCTTCTTCTACCACTGCTCTCACATACTCTATCTCCATTTCCTTGAGCTTCCTCTCCACCGCTTCCATGCTTTCGCACTGCGCTCAACACACAAATCTCTTGTATCAAAATTTGACAGTAACTAATAATACCTAACCGACCCTCTCAAGTCATTTTTTTTTTTTTTTTTGTCAAATAACGTGGCCTCATTTCTCATATTAGTTTTTTTTTCCTTGGCATTACTACAACAATCTATATAACTTGAGATAGAAGTACAGTTTCCACCTTGTTACTTTCAAAGTAGATATATTTTCACTAAATAGACTTTGTATTATTATCTGGTGGAGACTTAATTTTGTGCACAAGGGGGTTAGTGAGAGAAGGCATGTAAAAAGGTCGAAATGAAAATTAAAAGTTATAAAAGAAAAGAGAAGGAAACCTACCTGGAAAGAAATGTGATTATCCTTGGGATTAATCTCAGATTTCTTGACTAGTTTATCAGGTTCAGGAGATTGAAGAAGATGGATCCCAATTCCATGTCCAAACAGCCTGGGAAGTTAAAAACATTTTTGAAAAACTAGGCAATAATCATAATATATTGAGGTGTGTACGTGAACGTGAACGTGAACGTGATGGTACGTCTTACCAAGCGCCATCGAAATCAAAAGAGCCAGGTCTGCGGATCGGGAGGAACCCTAAAACGTTATGGTAAAAGCTCATGGATTCCTCCACCGATCGACAGAGAAGAGATATGTGATTCAACGACTTTATTTGCAGAGGGTTTCCCGTATTTTCCTTCATTTTCCCCCTCCCACTAACACAAACTACAAAGGCAACAACAAGGAAAACCAATTTCCAAAACAGAACAGAACAGAACAGAACAGAGCAACTCGCTGCCTCAGATCCTACCAACTCCGATGAATTTAAGGATTGATCGATTCAGGAGAAGGATGATTTTATTAGAATTCGCTTAATTGTACACGTGTGTGTGTGTATGATATTTATATATACATATGTGTCGTGATCGAGTAAACTACGGAACTTTACCTGAGGATGGCGATGATGCCTATGTTTATGCATCGCTTTTATTTTTCACATACTATGTCTATGTTGTATCATATTATCACCCAAAGGTACCATTCATCGTTTTAGTCGAATAGAGAGAATACGTCGTATATTTTGGATCTTCAGATCTCAGATATTTCAAATCATACAAATAATAAACGTTGATTCACCTAATGGCTTTTTTTTTTTTTTTTGGTTGGAGTTCAAAATAATTACAGTGCTAAAAAGATTACCGCCATAAAATCTAACTTTACAAGTGTTGACTGCCTGTCGAGGCATCTATATCTGTATAGACGTTTCGAGTCCAGCAGACAAATAAATATGTTTCCTTTACTAGTTTTGTATGATCAAAAGTTTCTACAAACAAATAAAATGGGTATTTTATTCCATAAACAATTAAAAAATAAATTCATTGCTGGTTGTCCCTCTTCTCTTCTCTGTTGTTTACATTCGTTGCTATAGCAGGAAAAGCTATGAACGTTGGGGTATCATCGCCTATGTTTACGTTTTATGCCTTTTACTTTGGCTGGAAGAAACTGACAACTTAACCGCTCTCCCCAGGGATCGTTGCTTAACCGAAGCGTTTGTCTCATCAGCCCAACGATCCTATCTGTTCCTCCCGCACATGGTCACTACTTTATGTATGCCATTTTTCTCTCCATCTTTAATCAAAAAGAATGAAATAAGATGTTTCTAGTCAGCATAACAAAAGCTAAGCTTGATCTATACAATCAAAACTCTTAATTTAGTAGAGACATCTATTACTTACTGGGTATCCATTGGAGTTTCCAAATCACCCTGGCCTCTATTATCATGGAACAACATAGAGCTGAATCCGATCAGGAGACTATATGTGTCTCCTCATATGGGGCTACATCCAATTTCCAGTTCCCCCACAGCTATACAAAAGAAACTCAGGAGAAAGAAATAAAGAATCCTTTGGCCGTCTGATGTAGCAAATTTGTTCCATACCATGTAAACATTACAAAATGGACTTAAGGGAGACCAACTGTTTTGACCTGAAAGGAGGGACTCGTTTGTGAACTAACGTCATGATCAACTTAGCCTGATCAAGCTGGCCCTTTTTCACAAGCCCATTGAGCAGCATCTCAACTGTGTCCAAGTTTGGGTACCACTTCTTTCTCATACAATCCTTGCACATCGTATAAGCCAAATCAAAATTTCCAGCCTTGCACAAATAGTGAATCATCGTCTGGTAGATCTTCAAATTGGGTTTGTACCCCTTACCATGCATCGCTGTATAAACCCTTTCGGCCATCTCAGGAAACCTCGCAAGGAAAAACCCTTTGATAACCATGTTATATGTTATGTTGTCCGGTTCCACATGGAGTCTTGGCATCAAAAGCAACAGATCATTTGCATCCCAAGCTCGTCTCCTATTAACTAAGAACTGAATCCTAACATTAAAAGTGGTGAGATTAGGCTTACAGCCCTTGAGGACCATAAGGTTCCACAATCCATTTCCAATCACACACCTCTCGTGCTTGTAAAACGCAGATATAAGTGTGGTATATGTAACAACATCTGGTTGTAACCCTGATTTCTCCATCTGCCGCATAGCCATATAGGCCCCGTCAAGTATGCCCAGGTCGCAGAAAGATTTAATGGCAATGTTAAAAGAAACTGCATCAATGTCAATGCCATAGTTTGAAGGGGCGTCGCGAAGGAAGTCCCGGATGGTGTGTAGGTCAGGCTTGAAAGACAAGACTTGAAGAGCGGCATTGAAGGACTTAACAGTTCTTTTGCAGCCGTGTAAATCCATATTGTAGAAAGTATCAAGGGCTTGCTTGGTCATTCCAGCCTTGCCATACAAGATAATGATCCTAACAATGAAACCCTCACGCCTACCTTGTGGAAGTGTCTTCTGATGCTCAAGCAGAAGCTCGATGAAGTCAAGCCGACGTGCAGCAGCTAATCTAGAAACCGTATCTTCAAAAGCAAATCGATTTTCAATCACCAAACGGTTAGTGGCATTAGCTTGAAAGAGCTTGAATAGCTTCTCAGGGTCTCGCTCAGATTTAAGCTTGACGAGGGCAGGCTCCTCGAGCGGTTGGATCTGATTGGACTCAGATGAAACACGAGAGCTCGATGCAATACCCAGGGCTACAGAGGAGGAAGAATGGCAGAATCTGCGAATGGTTCGCAGAGATAGCATGATCCCTCGAGCCTAAACATACCCGTACTGTGAACCCGATAACATGTAGGTTTTATTCAAATCTCCAGCCTTTGCAATCTGTGTAAGATCTAACAACCCAATCGATTCAAAGAGAGCGAAGAGTTGAGCAAACCCTCCACATCCATATCTACCTCAATCAATAATAACCTAAAACCATATGCGATTCCGCGGCAGCCATATCCGTGGAACCCCTCCAACAACGAATTTTAGAACACAGCCGAACTTTAGCTCAGATCGCTATGATCGAAAGCCGGGGCAGTGACCGGAAAAGGGAGAAATTTCGATCTGAGATGGAGATTAACAGGAGGCTAACGACTGAGCTGATTCGACGGAGGTTTAAGGTTTTAGGTTTTTCTGGGTTTGAGAAAACCACTGGACTTACTCATTTTGGGCTCAAATATGTTGTTTTTTTGTTTTGGGCTTTGCACTCTTATATTAGGCCTTCTTAACTTTAAAAATTCTTCTTTATTCCAAAATGACCCTTACATTTATACATATCCAAAATTTACACCCAGAAACTTTTTTTATTAAAATAGTTAGTCATTAGAGACAGGAGGAAGGTCGGATGATGCCTTGTGCGGAGCCCTGAACAAAAGAGCAGAGAGAGGAGACAGAATCAATTCCATTGGCCGGAGATAAGTCAATGTCTCTCATGAAAATGTCGGAACATGGAACACTCTCCCCTGAACACTCAAGCTTCATGGCCACCTTTGTAGCCGATGTTCCCCTCATCTTCATGTATCTCACTTTCTCTATGTGAACTGCCTTTCTCTTATATGATAAATATCACATCAAACATCAAACATGACCTAGCTCGTTTTCCATCAGCATTAAAAATAAAACTTGGAAATAAAAAAAGAAATTAAAACAAGATTCTTACGTACAGTCTGAGGGCATTTAGGGGCACAGCCGTAGAACTGATCAATGATGATGGGGTTTTGTACAGACGAGAAACGAATGTCAAAGAACTCGATTCCTCGGGCGTACCCAGTTCCTCCAGGCCACGTCTTGATTCGAGCTCCGTTTGTTGTTCCCGTGAAGTTAACGTGCCACACACGTATGTTTTCCACTGCTACCTCTGTTCCTCCTCTACCTAAACTCCCAATGCTGTCTCACATAATTTTTTTAGTTCAGAAAAAAAAAAAACATTTGGGTAAAAGTATGATTATCAAGATTGGGAAATTTTTAGCCACCTTACACCGTGACCAGGTCCGCAGTTGAGGAAGGAAACGTTCACATTGTTCACTTGATCTCCGATAGACACACAATCATCACCTGTTTGATTGTAGGAAATTGTAAGATTTTTAAAAAAAAACTAGCTGAGTTGAACTTTTTAATGAAATATTTTCTCTCGTGTCCTTGGATCAAGATAATTAATTATTGTTTTACCAGTGGCGATGTCAGAATGAGTGATCGAAACGGCTGTGGAAGATGTGATGTGAATACCATCGGTATTAGGGCTAGCCTCAGGTGCAGTTATTTTGATATCATCGATATACACATTGTGGCTTCCCATCACAAGAACATGGGTTTGTGCACTGTTTCTGAATCTCAAACTTTTTAGTGTTACATTTCCGCAGTTGCTAAATGTCATCATCTGCGGGAAATATATATATGTAGTTACTGAGACGTCCCAGTATATATATATATTCTTTTGCAAATAGCAAACTTACCGTTGGTGCAAGCGAGATGCAATCCTGAGACAGAGTATATAATGTATTACATAGAGATGGTTAGTTAGGATACAGTATTAACCAAAGAAAAAAAAATATAAAAAGTTGTTGAAAAAAATAGATGTAATTAGTAAAGGGGAAATAAAGAAAATTACGGGGCCGGGATGGTCTCTGCAATGAATATCCCACCAGGCTTTCCCCTGGCCGTTCAACAGGCCGCGCCCTACGATTGCAAGTCCATCCACTTGATCGAATATGAGCCATGGTATTACTCCGTTCTCACTTTTTCCCCACTTGTTTGGATCACTCTGCGCTATCATCTCTCCATCCATCTATATATATATATATATAATAACAAAATAACTTGGTAAAAAACTTGGAAGAGGTTCGATCATGTTCGATTATTCATGTAATATCAACCAAGTAAAGTGGTAGAGAGATATTTACAGTGAAAAGGAGAGGTTTGGGTATGCAAGGACCCGTGAAGTGAAGGGAGTTGAGGAGGAACACCTTCCCCGCTGGTACATTTACACTTGCCATTTTGGAGCTTCCCTTGCAAGCATTCTCCCACGCCTTTTGGAACGCCTTTTGTTTTTTAGTTCACAAATCATGTCCGATCCATCCATGTTTTTACGTACCAAATGTTATAACTTTGATTATATATGACTAATTAAATAAGTAAGCTGCTTGATAACTTTGTATCATGACTTAACGTTATAATTGCTTTGTATTTATACACCAATAACTTACATATGTATCATCAGCAATTCCATCTCCGACCGCTCCATATTTCATCACCGATTCAGCATAGCTTAACTCGGAAAGTCCAAAAATCGCAACGAGTATGAGCAAAACATGATTCTACACATTCGTATATATAAAAAGATGATTATTTTGGAAGTCAGGTTCGGTGTGAGTAGATAGAGGCAAAGAGTACTGTCTTACCATTTTGACGGAAAATGGATTGATCTCGGTAGCGTTGAATATCAGATTAAATTTCAGATTGTCTTGAGGGATTGATTCAAGCCTCGCATAGATTACAAACATATATAACAGCATTTGAGACAAATGCATGCATCTCTCGGTTTGGGTTTCTTAAATTTTCTAGGTTTATATTTACATAACATATATATATATTTATATGTGAATCTATATATATATATATATATATATATATATATACGAGCATCCAAGGATTCTCTGTATGTGTTTCCATTCGTAGCCTTAAGTTTCTTCTAATATCAAGTGCCATCAAACAGTCTTCTTTAGTATACGCGTTGCCAACGCGGCGATGGACTAGAAGGTTTTGGTGCCCTTTGCGTTACAATAACAAAAAAGGCATTTTCTAGCTATAATTAAGGTAACAAAAATAGTGCAATTAGTTTACTTTTATTAGGTGATCTATTACTCAGACGATGTGATGATGACATTCAGTTGAGCATCCAATTAAGGATTCTCTCTATGTATGCATTTCGTATAAAACAATAAAGTCAAAGCTTCCTTCTTTAACCAAAATAAAAATTAAAGTCAAAGTTTCCTCTAATACTCTGTATCATCGAACAGTCTTCTTGATTTGGACTAGTAGGTTTTGGCGCCTGTTTGAATTCATCCATCAAGACATCCTTCCATATATATCTAATCAAACAGAGTCTATCTCCGATGCTGCAAGAATTAATATGTATATTACTAAAAAAAAAAAAATGTGACAATGCTGCAAGAATATACAAGAAGCAGACATCCATATCTATATAAAGCTGGTCACTCTAATTTTGCTTACTTGTGAAAAAAATAATTATTACTTTCAGTATAGATTTGGATGTAGTCTCATCTTTGTTTGCATCTAAACTTGTACCTATGATCAACAAAATCTGATGGTAACGTTCTTTGATTATCCCCATTTCACAACCCATGTACAGTATATGCGTTTAAGACCAACTCCAATGGTAAATTTCTTAAAAAGTTTGTTAGTATATTTTTATTACAATAAAATATAAAATCTGAAGCTAAAAATCTTTTAAAGAGTAAGTAAAATTTATCTTCCAATGGTAAAGTTTTTAAGCATTAATTTTTTTTTTAAGCAGAAACCTTGTTTTTTTTTTTTTTTCTTTGCTCCACTCAATGAAAAACTGACACATGTTGTTAAGAATCATGTTCTAAGACCATGGGCATTGGCAAGTCCCATGGTCAGTCCCTCAGCTTTTTAGGAAAAAAAAAAAAAAAAAAAAATTTGTGTGGATCGTTCCTTTAAACGGGACTGTCCCTCTTCTATTCGCGGGCTCCACTGACACGTGGCGGCCCGCGATTGTTTTTTTTTTTTTTTTTTTAATTCTGTAAAAAGAAAAAAAAAAATTTGGGACCGATATCGGTCCCTCCGATGCACATGCCCTAAATCCCTTAGCTAAAAACTTTTCCTTAGCTTATTATACATTTTTGATTTATTTGTATTCCTTCTAACACCTAGAAACTTGCTAACAAACTTGCATTGGAGTTGCTCTGAGTTTAACATGTGCTCTTTAATCTTTGTATACATTAAAATTTGAAACATATTCTAGCTCGTTGCTGTAGAAGATGAATTTATTGTCACCAGACAGTGATCAAGAGATCACGTACGAGTTAAAAAATCTTCATATTCTCGACATGAATATGTAACATTAAAATCAGCAGCAACGTAACGTTTCCCCAAAGTTGAATGCTAAAACGTCCAGAGACTTGGTGGGGGTTTCCTCCGACAAACTTAAACCAACGATCTTCTATTATTGGTCGTTATATATTGATCCAATGGGCATCCTTCGGCATGTTTCTTGTCTTCTCTCCCCAACTCACGTTGTTTCGAGACCATCGCGACCTAACTAAATGTTTCATTTGACTTTCAACTTCACTTTTTCGTTTAATTATGGAAAAAAATTGTTATCGGTGTATATACATATATGAGTGGGTGGGTATATAAATTTCAGCATGTGTATGTTATTGCTATATATACATATAACTCTTACGCGCATTGGGGTTTGATAAAAAGTAAAGAAATGATATCGTCAAGGAAATATAAAGGATGTGGTTTTAGAGCTGCATTGCTCATTGTCAATATCTTCGCCTTCGCTCTCATGTCTCTACACTACGTATCTGGTATACAGTCCCTATAAATATATATATTACCCCTTAAGTATAGAAGAAATCTGTTATATATATTAATCCATCTCTGACTTATATATATGTACTATACATGCATGTAGGAGCTCATGATCATCAACAAAAAGAGAAGGAACCGGTTCTGGGTTCAGAGCCTCCCGTGTGTGCGAGCAAGTGCCTGAACTGCAACCCTTGTCTTCCTTATCTGTTTGACATTTATGGTTCTCGTGATGATGATTATAGTGAACCACCATATTATCCCGTAAGATGGGTCTGTAGATGTAGCGACGGAGTATTTGAACCGTAAGAATGGTATTTATATGTATTTTTATGTGTGTTTCTTCTCATGGATATTCATGTTTGATGGTTTATATATATAATATATCAGAGAAAATAAAATTTGATGGTGTGTTTGTATGTGTCCGTTGTGGGTATCATGCATGTTGTGTCAGTGTGATGCACCATCCACATACTGGACGTAATAATACTGGGCCAGAATTATAATGGGCCTAGAGAGAGAGAGAGCCTTAATATATAAATGAAGACATGGTCCTGCCTAAAAATTAAAAGCTTCAGACTCCAAGTAACGAAGACCTTTTCCTTCGATCCTTCACCGTACGTTTTTGGTTACCTTTGTGTCCATATATGTATCGCATCTTATATTTTATCTTTATGATGAAATAACTCGACATCGCCTTGGCAAAATAAGAAATTAATTATCCAACATTTCAACCTCAGGCATCACATCCTAATGATTCCTTATGTTCCATGTAAAAACTAAAAATGGTATATAAGGACCGATAAGATTCATATTGATTAATATTCGTGTCGATTATTCGAACGAAAATCAGATTTATTATATATATATGAATTATTAATCATGCAGCATCATAAAATGATCAGAATCTCTATATATGTATGGATAGTGTGGAATCATTGACGTATCATTTTCTTCTCGACGCTTCGAAAGAAACCCTAAGAAAACGTTATTATCTGCTGAATACATTTAATCCATAGCGTGACAAGGAGAACAGAGGCCGTCGTAGATAAAAAAAAAAAAAAAGCATGAGAGTGATCAATGTGATCATGAAGACGATCGAATGTGAAGCACTGAGACGGAGAGATTATATATCTCGCCTCACCGCTTGCCTTTTACGTACGTCGTTGTCGGTATTGTTTCGTCAGCTCAAAGTCTTAAACGTGTCGACTGTTGTCTCGGTCTGAGAGAGAGCACTGTAGCTGACAGTTACGTTTAGAGTTTTGTCTCCATCTCCTAGGCAACCCAGCACCGTCAGTTCTTTGTGTAACGATGGGGACAAAAGGGTGGATGGTAGGCCCTCGCTCGCCCATGTGGTTGTAGTCAACGTGTCACATTACTAGAGGCTATGCTTTTATTTACGATCTATTTTTGCTTTCAATCTATGGAATCATGGTCCCGTCCGTAGAATAATATAACTTCACTTGTATTATTTGTTTCCCTTGGCTGGTGTTAACTTAGAGACCAAATAAATATAATATAAACATACTTTATCTTTTACAGTCTTAAATATATAATTATGCGGCTTACCATTCTCTATATAAAAAAGAAAGACTTTAGTAGATCGACTACTACTCGTTTATAAAGAGTGGGGTTGCGTGTGTTAGTTTAATGGAGTTTTTAATTTAAGATAGTTATAGTTGGTACCCGAGTGGTTTCATTATGTTATTGAGAAGCACATCTGCTCCGATACTGAACTCGTGGCTTCCACAACACTGCACGAGAGAATCGTCTCCAGAGCCGGAGTCACAGCTCCAGCGCCGGTCAAGGTCGTTGTCTCTTTTCTCATCAAAGTCCATAGATGGACACACCGGTGAGCAGTTGCACCAAGCTCTCTCCGAGCAGAAGGATATTGTTCTTAAATCAAGAAGCAACGAGAACCACAACGAAAACCCAACACCACCACGCAGGCAACGCAGGTCATCTTTAGATGAAACACGCTACGCCAAAAAGACTTTGGATCCCTCGTCAACTTTCTTAGTGGATAGGCTGTTCTCGAGCTCAGGACTGGGAGAAAAGACCAGCAATTATGATGATCGTCTTGAGACTCTTGTGAGTGGTGGTGGCGGCGGGATGGGCAGCAGCGGCGGCAAGATTTGCACCGGCGGCGGTGTCGGTGGAAGTGGTGTTGACGGCGGCGGAAGTGAGGACGCTACCGATAAGTATTACAAAGAGATGATCGATTTGAATCCAGGAAACTCGCTTTTGACTGGAAACTACGCCAAGTTCTTAAAAGAGGTAATGAGTTGAGTAGTGATTTTGTCAAGGAAAAGAAAAAATATCTTTATTAGCCATTGAGATATTTTATACTACAAGATAGTTAAATTAAGGAAGATTCTCATCCACGTGTAAAGATTGTATTTGCATGCGCAGACCAAAACAAATAAAAACCCATATACTGTATATTGTTTTCATGTTTAGTTTCACGAAAAAACGTAGTCGTAGAAGAAGAGAGGAGAGAAATTAACGTTCTCATCGGGCAAAATATATTTATGTATATGAACAGGTGAAAAGAGACATGAAGAAAGCAGAAGAGTATTGTGAAAGAGCGATTTTGGGGAACACCAACGATGGAAACGTCCTCTCTCTCTACGCTGATCTCATTTTGCACAACCACCGAGATCGTGAAAGAGCCCACTCGTACTATCAACAAGCCGTCAAAATGTCCCCCGAGGATTGGTAATTTTTTTTGCCAAGTTTACTAATTTCTATATGTTAAACACCAATTCTCTCATGGATGCTGACAATATTGTAATTAACAAAAAATTGGGGCAGCTATGTGCAAGCTTCATACGCAAGGTTTCTATGGGATGTGGAAGAGGACGAAGATGAAGGAGAAGAAGAAGAAGAGAGGAGTGATGATATTGGCCATGTTCCTCCAAATACTACTACCATATTCCGTGATTTTTCCCAACACACTTCTATTACCGCATCATCGTAATATATCAAGACACATGTCTAATCGTGTGTTCGTCGTATTTAAAATAAATATATAGCATATAGATGCATGTTTAATAGCCATGTGCAAATGCGGTATGCGTGTAAAAACATACATATTACGGAATATTGTATAATATGGATATGTTTTTCTGTGTTCCATTGCATATGTGTCTTTACCATTTTACAAAGTATGAGAGCCTTAATCGAAATACTATTAACAAACAAAAATATATACATATTAGGCGTTTATTATGATACATAATTGATACAGATATTTTTTTAGTTGGCAACTTGACATCAACCAACGTCAAGCCGATCCGTAGATATTTTGGAGTTAGAAAAGACCAAAAATATCTTGTTCGTACTTGGGCGGGCCTCAACGTTTGATTTCTCTCAGTTAGTAAAGCAATAAAACACGTTAATGGGCCATAATATAGCCTAGAAAAAATAAAAAATTTTGAACACTCAGTGATGGAAGGTGATATCAAAAGTCAAAACAAGTACACTGTGTGAACCAAAAGCTTGTTATTCAAACTTCTTCGCTATTTACTATTGTTTGGTCATACACGGGACATTTATTTTCGCAGAAATTGAAACTTTTCCTCTATTAATAAGTCAAGAGGAATTATTACAGTTCATATCACGATTAATTTGTAGCATAAAATATTAGTCCTCCTAATTGATGCAATTTTTCAGTGCTATCCCTATCTAGAGTACTATCTCCCATAGAGTTGGAGTAATACAGAAGTTGAACCGTCCTATAAAGGCCATGTCAATGGAGAGAGAAAAACAGATGGATCAACAGGTAATGGATGGTCAGCTTAATATAATGTAAATTTTGCAACTCGTTCGAGCTATACAAACTTTTTTATATGCCTAAAACTCACCTAGAAAAGGGAAAATAACTAGACAAAAGAATATTGTAAACCGACAACGTAACTAAATTCTAACTCCATTGGTGGAACCCTTAATTATCTTCAAATGGAACAGCTGTATGTAATTAGAGTAATTCAAACCAACCACTGATTACATATATCATTATGGTGAAAGACGTAATAGATTTTTGTCCAAATCGTTCCTTTCAAGCCGACAGAGAGAAAACTCACATTCACAACTAGATAGATCTCTAATATAGATTTGATAAAAAATTATTAAATTTTGATTTTAAGAAGAAAACAAAAAAAGAAAAAGGGGGAAAATCAAATCAGTGATCTTCTGCGGAAGGGTGCACCTGTTGTTCACCAACCTCGAGAAGATCGTCGCCGTAGATTTGATCAAGGACAAGAACCAAGCCCATTGCAAAGGCTCCATCAAAACCGGGTTTGACGTTCAAAGAGAAAACGTCTTTACCAAGCATAACGTTCGTTGAGGCATCCACTTTGCGGCGTACCTCGGCCACCTTCCTCCTCGTCTCCGCCTCCAAGACGGTGCAGCTCCTTTGCCCGAAACTACCTTCGATCAGATACTCGCCGCACATGTACACCTCCACCGTCACGCTGTTCCTCCCAATTATGGACGACCTCCTGACCCCGAAGATCGGTTTCTGTCCGTCCGATCTCTCCCCCAGATAGCCTTCCCATCTCCGTCTTAAACTCGGCCTCTGTTTTGAACCCAAAAACTGATTAAGTAGAAAGCCTTTCAAATATATATATATAAAAGAGATAAAAGATAAAAGGAGGAGGCATGAACCTTTCGTCGGAGGGTGAGGAGACATCGGCCGTGAGCGTCCATGAGGACAACCTCGTCGGTGTCGCGGGTGTTGGGGCCACCGTAAGAGTCCACCCGAAACACCAATCGGCCCTTGCAGTCGTAAACCGTGAAACCATCGCCGGCGAAAAACAGAGAAGTTTTCCGAACAGTGAGGGTCCTTTCTACTTGGTGTATGAATTCATCGTCGACGAGCAAACCCCCCTTCATATTATTTTGTTAGGCTTCCTACTTAACTGGTTATCTGTATATGATGAGATGCTTGTTGTTAGCTTTCGATTTAGAGTATACTACTAGGGGACTTAGTCTAGTCTCTCTTCTTGTTTTGGAGATTTTAATTAAATTGGGAGGGAGAGAGGAAAGCCAAGGTTGGGGGAAAAGGAAAGACAACGAGTGCAACTCATTTATAAAGGCTGAAGACGACAGCCCACTCGGGTCATCTACCAATTTTATTAGCTTTAAGCTAATGCTACCTTGACACGTGTGGCTGACTCCTCCTCCTCGCCTCGACTTTATTTATTTCATAAAGTTGCCAATAAGTACCTCTTCACTCCACCGTTAATATCTTTTTACGTCACGTTCAAACATAATAAGTATATATCTCGTTCGATTCCAACCTTCATGTCTTATAGTAACTTTTCAGGTATTCGAAGATCTTACCTCTATATAACATTTGACCAACACCTATATACGTATAGTGGTTTTTTTAATTACCATCCTCCTCGTATATATATGATGATGTATATTATCTTCCTTTCGTTTCGAAATCGCACGTTCTATTTTCGTTTTGCTATAAATTACTTAAAATATTCCATGTATGTTATTAATTCTTTTACTTTTGAAAAGATTCTTGTTTTGACTGTCTTCGGCAAACCTCTAACCTTTCTTTCCGATCACTGTTTCTCCTTCACTCCTTTTATACGATTCTTATAACAATATTATTCCGCGTTTTTTATACAATCACACTACATATCAAAAAGTGTACTTTGTTTTAAAATAAAAAGCATCTTACAGGTGCGGGGGCATCAAAGTTGCGTCTCATCGATTCCCCTCTATGATTCGTTTAACTATTACTCTATAACTAATTCAAGTCTCATTTTTATAACGTTTAACATTATATGATAACTAAAGTATAGCTACATATATTAGTGGATTTGAATATCTTCTCATATCTTAAAAACTATTTTTTAAAAATCTTTTCATATCTCGTCGTTGAAATTATTATGATCTATATAAAATATGAAACTTCCATGTACCATCAAGGTCCATGATCAGCTAAGCTAGTCAATAGTCTAGTACCAACACTTATACTTTAAAATTTTGTCCCGAAACGGAGACGAATTAAAACTGTGGAAAATGTGTGTTGTACCCGAGGGATATCATTATATACCATCTCTATCTCTATTTGCATTATTTCAAATAGACCCATCAAGTGGCCCTGTACGTATGGGAATAAAGATTCCCACCACATAATTGAAGATAAATCCTAACGTTCCCATCAAACATTATAGAAAGTATCATATTTTTTTATATATATTATTTTCTCAATATTTGTAATTTTGTATGATGATACAGTGGTCTAGTTAGGAAGTGAAACTTGTAATTTGTAAACACTAACATAGATTGTAAATAACTTATATAACTATCATTTGATCTCAAAGAGCTTTTTGACCAACATTTAGATACAGTAAAACCTCTATAAATTAATACTCGATAAATTAATAACTTCTATAAATTAATAAATTTATCCGGTCCCAAGTTGGGACCAGTGTAATTTTAGACATATTTCGATAAAATAATAAGATAATAATTTTTTTGAAAATCCTTTGTAAATATATGGTCCCATCAAAATTATAAATTAATAATTAGGTAAAATTTTCAAAATATATGTATATATAAACACATTAGTTTTTGTTAGATTTTATTTCTAATATTTTACTATATGAAAAATAGTTAGCATTCTATTTTAATACATAATTATTATTATTTTATTTGTAATTGAATATATAAAATACTAATTATCATGATTAAATCTTATTTTTAAAA